CTTTTTAGTCCTCGCAGTATTTTTTTCATCGGCTTCTATTGCCCAAAACACCACGCCGGCTGCCCGTGTCCCCTCGCACGGAGCTGGCCCCCCACGTTTGAGACTGGCTGCAGGAGCTGACCCCTCAGGGAGGGCCGAGCCCAGCGGGGAGGAAGGAGGGGGTCCCCGGTCCCTGCCCGCCCCGTCGAGCCGCCCTTCGGCCGCCCGGGCCGGGTCGGGCCCGAGGCGCAGGGCAGGCGGCGAGCTGGGGTCGCCGGAGCTCGCCGCGCTCCCGACCGGCGGGAGCCGCGTCCGTCACACACGCAGAGCGGAGATTTTTTAAGTAACAAATGTACTTTTTTATTTTTGAAACAAAAATATCGTTTTCGGCTTAACAATAGCCGGATCTTGCTGAATGAAGCCTTTGCATATTTTCCTGTTTTAATTGGTTGTATAATAAACAGTCCTGACCCCGCACTCTCTTTTCAATGAGTTCAGGGTGAAACGCGGACCATGGGACTGGAAGTGACTTTTTCACCACTTAAAACACGGACAAGAATACCAGGAATCAGGCGGTATTAACCTGGCGCTCCGGTCGGGGCGGGAGGGAGGGCGCAAGGTAAGAGCCCTGTGTGTGTCTCCCCACGGAGCACGGCTCTGCCCTGCCCTGCCCGCAGCCACCGCCACCGTCGCCCACCCGCTCCAGGCACGACTAGAGGAGCCGAAGCAGCTCTCCCGGGGTCCCTCAGCACTCGCGCTCCCGCCGGCCCGCAGGCAGAGGGCAGCCGTGCCGTGCCGTGCTGGCGGGGACCGGCCGGGGTGCCGAGGGCTCTGCCACCCTCTGACTCTGGCCAGGGGTTCAAAGGACCTTTGTGGCCTGCGCAAAGGACCTGAGAGGAAGAAAAAACTACGGCCGCCGAACATCCCGCGGGGTTGGCACTGCCCCGGTGTGCCAGAGCAGCAGAGGGGCTGTAGGAGCCCGCTCAGCGTCGGGGGAAAAACCCGGCCCTTCCCCGAAGGGCACGGGCAGCGCTGCCTCTCCCGCAGTGGCCGAGGCAGGCTGCTTCCACGCCCGCTCCGGGCAGGGAGAAAACACCCCTCGCTCTTCTGCTTTCATCTTTCTCCAGCGTTGCGTAAACTCGAGGCCGTTCCGAAAAGGCAGTGGCGGCGGCTCAGCGGCCCGGAGGCCCCCTGGCCCGGCTCTGGCCCCCGGAGCAGCCCCGCGGCCGGAGGAGGCTCCGCGCCAAGGTGCTGTCCCGGGGAGCGCGTCCCGCTCCGTGGAGCATTCCCCCTGTCGTCCTTTATATAACGGGGAAAGACCTTACACAACGCGCAAACCCAGCTCTTGCCAAGAGCTCGGCGCTCGGCTTTTGTAAATGGGCCGACGGGGCTGGGCGGCGGCGCGGCCGGGGGCAGGTGGGACCCGCGGGATCGGCTGACGTGGCTGCCCGGAGCGAGGGACTTCTGAGCCTCCGTGAGCACCCCTGGCGCTGTTCGTGCCCACGGAGCTGCCTGCACGAGGGGTCGGTACAGACCCCTTCTGCTGCCCAGCCCCTGTCGTCCCAAGTGCCACTGTCGGGATGCGGCCCGACCCTACACATCAGCCAGGCTGCCCAGCGGGTTCGTATGGGACACTTAGTCCCTGGTGTCGGTGCTTGGGTGTTCAGTATCGCACGGCGCGGTCCGCGGAGGCTCCCCACGGGCCGGCCCCCGCTGCCCAGGCAAGCACAGCGAGCAGGGACGTGATGGCCGCCCCCCTCCCCAGGCCGGCAGGACTGACCGGGCGGCCCGGCCGCTCCCGGCAGCGGCAGAGGCCGAACTGCTGCCGGCAGGACCAGCCCTGCCCCGGGCCACAGCCCGACAGTGCCCGGCAAGCGCCGCCAGGCCAGCCCGGGACGGCGGCAGGGTTCTCGCCGTGATTTCCCTGTGAAGTTTACATTCAGTGCAGTCTCTGTTTATAAAATACAGAAAACGATCGTGAAAACATCCTACAGGCGCAATGGCCGCAGTTGACTCGGGGCCGCGCTGCTGTCGGGGGGCGGCGAGGGGAGCCCGGGGCGAAGGCGATCGGAGGCTCGCCCGTGCACAAGGAGTCCGGTAGACGGACTGGGCACCGGCCCGGCCCGGAGAGCGGCCTCACGGCCCTGCCGGCCCGCTCCTTTCCCAAACGCGCGGCTCTCTGTCTCTCTGTGTGTACTCAGACGGGCACTGATAAAGCACTAGTAAAGACCCCCGGGAATCGGAGTAGCCCCGGGGGCCGCACGACCCTGCCCGGTCTCGGGCTGCCGCCTTCTTCCGCAGAACCTGGCATTGCCAAGTATCGCTTCACCCAAAGCCGCCGAGCCCCAGCAGTCCCCGGGTGCTTGCCAAGGGCGCTGCAGCCCGGCCGAGCGACGGCACAGCCCAAGAAGGAGACCGGGGAGGCGCCGGTGGGCCTGTGCGGGGTCCGGGACGGTAATCCCTCCCTCCCTTCTCCCCATGCCCACCTCCGGCGGCGGGGGTTTCCCTTGTTTCCGACGCATCGCGGAGGAAATTAGCGGGACTGGCAGTACCTATTAAATAAGGAACAAGCAGCCAAGGCCCTGAGCCCTCCGGTGCAAAGCTGCGATCCCCGAGGCCTGTGAGCGGTGCTCCCTCTCCCCTCCACCACCTGCTCCCGTCTGAAGGCCGCGGGCAGGTCTAAGTCACGGGACAGCGCTCCGCTCCCGCAGAGGTACGGGTGGCAAAGGCGCGAGTCGCGGCCGTGTCCCATGTGCACTGGCAGCCCCTCTCCGGCCTTTCGCCCCATCGTTACACCAGTGTCCGTGTGGAGGCCAGGCTTTTTCCTTCCCGGCACCCGGGGCAGCGCTCGGCCCGCAGCCCCTGCGCACAGCGCGGAGCGGCCGGGGCACCGCCGCCTCGCAGCGGCTCCGCTCGCTGCACCCCCTGTGCGTCCCTGTCGGCCCGGGAGTGGAGCCCCTCGGCCGTACCAGCGCTCTCAGCGCCTTCCCGCTGGGGACAGGGCCTAAGCAGCGGGGCCAGGGGGCACAGCAGGGCACCCGGGCTGGCCCGGCGGGTGCCCCTGGAGCCCTTCTGCCCTGGCCGTGCTCGCCGATTGGCGCCGCGGCAGAGAGGCGACCGGTCCCCACGTCCCCCCACGGCTTTCTGTGCCCAGGCTGGAAGCTGCCGCTTCCTCCCGTTCAGAGAGGCTGCAGCAGGCTCTAGCAAAAGGGAAGACCGTCAGGCAGCCGGGCAAGGGCCTGGCTGACCCGCGGGTCATGCTGCAGGCCTCCAGCAACAGGCGGGGAGTGCTCACCCCCAGCACTGGTTTTCGCCCCTGGTAGTCCCTCTCCGGGACAGGGAGCAGCCCGCGCGGCCCGGGAAGCGGAACACCCTCATCCCCACTCCTGCCGCAGAACTGCAGGCCTGGCCCAGGTCGGCATCTAAGAGGACCCACTGCATCCCGGGCCGGCACTGGGCGAGGGCCACCCCGCCTGCCCCATCCCCTCCTGACCTGCAGGCGCCCGCGCAGGGGCCGCTGTCCCCGTGGGCCGGCAGGTTTCGAAGGGAGGCCCAGGCCTCTGGAGCGCCGCTGCCGCAGCCATCGGCCCGGCGAGGAAAGAGGGACCCGCCGGCGGCTCCCGGCTCCGTCCCCGGCCGGGGCCCGGATGGGGCGCAGGCCGCTGTGCAGCGCGGCCGGGCCCGGGATAACGCGGAGCCGCGCTGCGTCGCCCCGAGCAGGCGGGGGAGAAATGAAAGCGGAGCCGGGGTCCACTGCGGGCATAGCCGCAGGCACTGCCCGGACGGCTGGGCACACGGGCGAGGTGCCGGCAGCTGCCGCGTCCCGGAGCGGAGGCGTTCCCGTGCCCGGCCGCGCTCACCCCTGTGGAGCCACCGAAACGGTCCCGCAGCGGCCGGCGCGGCCCCGCCGGAGCTCTCGGCGGGAGCGCAGCTCGCCGGTGCATCACGGAGCCGATGGAGAGTCCGAGCATAGCCGCCTGTTCCCGCGGCGGAGCGGCCCCGGGAGCGGCCCCAGGAGCGGTGCCCGCCGCCGGGAGCGGGCCGGGCAGCGCCGAGCGGCCCTGGCACACGGCGCCCGCCCCATTCTCTGCCGCCGCTAACCGATCCCGAGCACGGAGGAGCGGAGTGAAATACAACGATATGGAAAGAAGGAAAGGCATTTTATTGGAGACTTTACAATGCTAGAAAGTACAATAAAAGTGCTAGTTCACTCTAGAAAAGTTGGTCCCAAAATGGTACTATGCCACAGTATCTATCAGCTTACACAAACATTTACAGGATCGCTATGAACTGGCCCCTGTTTTATAAACGCTATTTTTTTCACATTACCCTATGTAAAATTGAAGGATCAAAACTTTTTAAGAAAAAGGTCAAGCACTCAAAAGCAGAACCTACTGGAAAATCCATTTGGGGCCAGGTTTGGGGGAAAAAAACGAAGATAGTTTAAACTTTCATTATTAATAATAATATGCACACTGAAAAATATTCTAATTTACAGGAAACCGTCTCTTTTTTTTAATAGCATCAAAATATTTTTTTAGACTTGTATAAAATTACTTTTAAGACCTCAGAGGACACTGTCTCCTTTAAAAAATATATTTCCCACTGCTGAAACGTTTCAGGAGTGACCCTGGCAGGTTTTGTTTTTTGGTTTGTGTTAACCAGCAATATCGCACATCTGCTGTTACAGCAGTCCCCACGTTAAGTACTATTTTAACGAAAAGGCACAGCTCGGAAGAAGCGCAGTGCTTTGCAGAGCGAGGAAGAAGACAGAAAACGCGAAGAGAAGGAGGAGGACGAGCACCGCGGGCACAGAGTAGTGTATAGGCCCCGCCAGCCCTGCACCGCACGCGTGAAAATGCCTCCGCTATTTACAAGCTCCGCTTTTCTCTCCCCAAGGCCGGGCCCGAAAAGATTACGGCCGAATTGCAAAGGAGCATAATTTTGAGGGCTAAACAGCTTATTTTTTAATTACATGTTCCCCTGCCCCCCCCCCCTCCCAAAAAAAAAACAAACCCAAAGAAACCAAAACCAAACCAAAACTAACAACCCACAAACAAACACACACACACACACACACACATACAAGCAGAGAAACACTCGGTGAATCTCCACTCGCTCGGAGACAGGCGGCCCGGCCGCCGACGCCCGGCGCAGCCCCGCGGGGAAGCTCCCACATTTACACTGCCTTCTTCTCCTGGCCGGACGGCTCCTGCACTGACACTACACCCGGGGCGAGGCTGCTATTTACCCACCGCGACAGTTTGGGCAGAGAAAGAGGAAAGTCTGCAGCTAAGGGACGAGAAGAGACACGAGAGCACAGGGGAACGCGGCGGGATGGGAGAGGGGCAGCGGGGCCGGTGCATTTCTGTGACGGCGGCCGGCCGGAGCCTCCCTAGATGTCTATGCGGGAGTGTAGGGCGCTGTGTTTGCTGTCGTGCTCCCAGTAGGAACAGTGCATCATGGACAGCTCGGTGGGCTGACGGGCGCAGGCAAACTGGAGGCCGGCTCCGTTCGCCGCCGGGGCCGCCGGCGGCGCGGGGCTGGCCGGGCTGAGCTGCTGCGGGTGGTGGGCGTGCGGGTGGTGGTGGTGGTGGCCCATGCCGTTGTAGGAGTTCACCATGCTGGGCAGCGCCATGCTCTGCACCCGCGAGTAGGGGCTGTAGGACGCCGGGCCCGAGAGTCCTTTCACATTGACGGGGCTGACGTTCCCGCCAGACATCTGGCAGGAGGTGTAGGGCATGGGCGCGGGGGGCTGCGCCAGCGGCCACGAGTTGTTCATGAAGGTAGACTGCAAGTACTTGGGCGGGGACAGGTAGCCATAGCTGTCTGGGCTGAAGAGGGTCTTGCCAGGCTGGAAGTGGGTCGGAGGCGGCCGGAAAGGCCGTTTCATCCTTCGTCTCCTGCGGTAGTTGCCTTTCTCGAACATGTCCTCGCAGGCGGGGTCCAGGGTCCAGTAGTTGCCCTTGCGCTCGCCGCCGCCCTCCCGGGGCACCTTGATGAAGCACTCGTTGAGGCTGAGGTTGTGGCGGATGCTGTTCTGCCAGCCCTTCTTGTTCTTCTCGTAGAAAGGGAACTTGCTGATGATGTACTGGTAGATTCCAGACAGCGTGAGCCTCTTCTCAGCGCTCTCCCGGATGGCCATGGCGATTAGGGCCACGTAGGAGTAGGGGGGCTTCTGCGAGGGGTCCGGCTTCTCGGGGCCCTTGTCCGTGCTCAGCTCCTCCTTGACTCGTTCCGGCTCCTTGCTGCCGCTGGTGTCATGAGCCAGTAGCGCCACTGTGTCTTCCTCGCCGTCCGGGTAATTGCTCATCATGGTGCCCCGCGTCCGCCGCCCGGGGCGGCCAGCGCAGCGCCGCGCGGTGCCGAGCGCTGCCCGGTGCGCGGAGCCCGGCGCCGGCGGCCGTCCCGCCCCGCGCTCGCCGAGATCGAGGTCGGAGCCGGGACCGGGACGGAGATGGGGAGGCGCCTCTCGCGGCGCCGCTGGTCCGTGCAGCGCGGCGGCCGCGGCGTCCCTGCCCCCGCGGGCTCCGCTCCCCTCTGCCGCGGCGGCCGGGCTCTTTTCTGATTTGTATGGGCCCGGTCGAGTTCCGCTTTCGTCAAGAGCCCGCTCCCCTATCGCGGCCGAGCCGCTGGGCACGGCCGAGTTCACCCCGCAGTCACGGCGCCGCGCTCAGCCCCGCGCACACGCGGCCCGACGTGGCCCCGCGGAACGGCGCGGAACCGCCCCGGCCCCGCCGCGCCGCCGGGGGCGGGGAGACGGGGGGCGGTGTCCGGGGGGGTGCTCAGGGAGCCTCTGCCGCCCACCTCGGAGCCCGGTGGGGCCCGCGGCGCTGCGCTCCCTGCCCGCCCGGTGGGTGCGAGGGGGTGTGCCCGCGGCGCTCGCCCCCGCCACGGCGGCTGTCACACGTCCAGCCGCACACGCGGCCGCGTTTATATGTCTTGGCCGCGGGCCCCGCCAACCGATCGCTCCCGGAGAGCACAAGGAGGCTGTTGCCGCTCCCTGCAAGTCGGTTCTTGCAGCTCTTATTTGCAGGAGGCAGGAGAGCAAAAGGTGTCAGGTCGCCCCTTCTCTCTCCCCGCAAAGTACGCGCTGACAGGCGACTCGAGGACCAGGGCAGGGTGGCGGGGCGGGGGATGACACACCGGGCAGCTTTCCTGACCGTTTCCCTGGAGGGTTTAATCGTATTTCACACGGTTCCTGGAGCACTGACATTCCCCCACTCCTTCCCCTTTCCTGCCTTCAGGTAGAGCCTCCCCGAACAGCAGACAGGCCGTCTCAGCTGGCCAGAGCACAAGATTATAACAACATTATAACAAATCAGTAACACGGAGCTGCTCAGACACGGGCAAAGCGGCGGGCAGAGGACTCTTTGCACTGATTTTTAACGGAGCCTTCAGTCCTATTACCGGGAATGGAGCAGACTGGCCCCGTTTGACCCCCGAGCCCTTCCATCAGACAAGGCGGCCACCGGCAGCCGCTAGAGCCCGGCCGAGCTCCGCAGGGCCGGGACCACCTGCGCTCCCGGCCTGGCCCCCTTCGGCCCTCGGGGTGCGGCACCGCCGTGAGCTCGGTGCTGCGGACACGGCTCCGCACGGACCCGACCTCTTCTCCCGTACTCAAGCGCAGCTCGGGCTGCCCAGAAGCGGCCCTGGGAGCAGCTGCACGCTCAGCTCGGCGCCCGCAGCTCCGCCGGCCGGCAGCTCACGGCCCTCAGACTCGCTCCTGCCTTTCTTGAACGTGAACACATTGTTCTCCGCCCCGCAGATTTTACGTGCTACACCAATTTTGGTAACCAAGCATGAGCCCAGAGGGTTGGCAGCACCCGAACGTGCGTGCCCGGTGCAACCGGGCCTCTTTCGTCGAGGCGCGTTTGGGGCTTCGATGGCTGATGCGCGGATCTCTAGTTCGTGTGCCTGGCCACGGGTCCCCGCTCCCCGCCCCGGGAGAGGCTAATTGGGGGTGAAGGCAGACGACGATGTAGAAACGTATTTTAACCGAGAAAGAAACGAATCCTTCGGGGAACTCTTATATTTACATATATATATATATTATACTCCTCAGTTAAAATACGTTTCTACATCTTTTTCCATGGCCATATAACGAATCCCTCATCTCCCGTCGACGGAGGAATGCGTGGCCCATAACCCGGGCTCTATGATTTTGGTCACAGACAGGAGGCCCGTCTGTTTCCGCACCCAGCCGCGGAGCAGCGCACGCCGCCCCCAGGCACCTCCCCAAGGCACACAAACGAAACGGCGGAGGGACGAGGCCCGCAGGAGAGACCCTCTCCAGGTTTCTCCTCCCCGGGCGGCCCCCAGTGGCTCGCCCCGCGCAGGGCGGCGGAGCAGCCGGAGCCAGCTGTGCCCCGCCGCCAGGACGGGGCTGCCGGGCTCCCCAGGGCCAGGGCGAACTTCTTTCTGCCGGCCACCCATGCTGCTCCCGGCGCTCCCCCTCGCAGGCATTTCCGCGGCGAGGGCCGGTGCAGGTGTAACAGCGCTGCCGCCTGTGTCATCACCTCCGCCAAATGGCACATTCCTCTCTTCTCACTCCTAAGCCGGGCGCGTAGCTCCTTACCAGGGCTCGCTCGCTCGCAAAGGACATTTGACATCCGAGGGGCTTATTTGGGTTTTTTTGACAGCCCGACCAAGGGGGATTTCGGATGAACACCGGGGCAGAAGCTCAGCCCAGCGCTGGGAGCGGCGATCGGGCCGAGCAGCGGCAAAGGTGAGCGCGCAGCCCAGTGTGCGGCTACTGGAACGTCTGACACCAGGACAGGCAGGCGCTGCCAGGCTTTCCCCTCTCCTAATTAAGCCCTTCGTGGGACATGAAAGAAGCACCTGAAAGCGCAGGAGCACGCCCATGAAGCTGTACCCTATAGCTGCGGTTGAGCGGAGAGCTGAGGGCTTATCGGCACACACAGAAATGTCACAACGAGGAGGATGCGAGTAACTGGGACGGGCAGCGAGCAGCGGAGCGCGGAGAGCCCTTTCTGAGAGAAGGATCAGGGGATCTCCGGGGAGCGGCGCAATCTGCCGGTGCGTTTGGGTGAGCCCGCGCTCCACCGCTCCCGGGGCAGGCAGGAGTCGAACATCCCGGACAAAGCGAGCGCAGAAGGAGCCAGCGGAACTGCTCCCGGCCCGGTCCTGCGGTCGCCCTCGGGGTAGGGGAAGCAGGAGGGAAGCTCGCAGTGGAGAGGGCTCACGGCGCCGGTGCCCGTAACCTGGCCCGCTGCAGAGAGGCGGCGGGGAAAGGGCTCTCGCTTTCTTCACACGAGGGCAGAATAGTCCCGGCCTCAGCCCGTCCCCAGTGCAGGGAAGCCGGGAAGGAGGCGGGCAGAGCGGGGCTCAACCCCGGCCGCGCACCTCCGCTAAGAAGCGCCCCGAGAGGTGCTGCAAATCGGGGCTGCGCCGGTACCGAGCCGCATCGGGTCTACCTTCCCGAACAGAGCACGGACCCTCCGCTGCGGCCCCGGGTCCCGTATTCCGGCCGCGCAGCGGCTGAGCCCGTAGCACGGGTGGAACCGCGGAGCGGAGCGGGACTCGGCAAGCGCCGGGGGTCTCGTAGCGCTCCAGGGACACGGGGCAGGGCGCCGCCCCCACGGTTGGTCCCCGCAGCCCGGACCACGCTTCCCACGAAAGCCGTGAGCTTTTTCCTACTCACCCTGTGCAGGAAGCAGAGGCGATTCTACCTGGGTCAGTTTGTTTGAAAATGCGGCAGCCTCCCTCTCCCAAAGTTTTTTTTTGTTTTTGTTTTGTTTTTTTTTTCTTTTTTTTTTTTTTTTTTTTTTTTTTGAGAGAGAGAGAGAAAGAAAACATGTCTCCGGCGGGGAGCGCCGGGATGCCCCTGGCTCGGAGAGCCCCGCTCCCGTTCGGCCAGCACAGCCGCCGCCTGCAGGCACCGGGGCAGCGCTCCCACCTCCCTCACTAAGACGCGGACAGCGACAGGCGACACAGCCCCGTTGTCTGTCCTCCGGTTCCTGCTCCGCTCCGGGGTCGGACTCACGGCTGGTGCCGCCTGAGGACCCACCGCTCTAGCCCGGGCACACTGCGGCCATACCCTCATTTGGTGCAGTCTTTTGGCTCACGTAGCAGCGACACGGATGTAAAAGCGGCCCCGGGCGAGCCTTCTTCCCTGAGGAGCGGGACCCGCGGCGCCGCAGGGCTCCGGGAGCCGGGAAGGACCGGGCGCTCTCGGTCCGCCCTCCGTCCTCGCAGCACCCTTCCTTCCTCGGCACAGCCACCAAAGCATCCGGGACAGAGCAGTCAGCATGCTACCGTGTCAAGTATTCCCAGTTTCTTCCTTTTTTATTTTCCCAAGTACTACTAGTCTTTAAGATCGTGGACTATTTATCCCCGTAACAAACACAGGAATAGGAGGGTACATGGAAACGCGAAACGCGCGGGTCTGTCCCGCACCACGGCGCTCACGAGAATTAACGAAATGTACTGCGGGAAATAAAATATTCTAGCCTCAATGAAAATTAATCAGATTTAATGTATTAAAAGGCTGAGACGGAGGCATTTTCCTGCGTTACCTACGCGAGGGACCTCCGTGTTCCCGCGGGCAGAGCAGAACGGAGGTGCTCCGGGACCCGGCGGCTCCAGCCCCGGCAGCCCGGGCTGGGCCGGCCGCTGCCCCACTTTCTCTCCAGAGCCCGCTTCGCTCCCTTTCTAATTGATATCTGGAGGCAGGCTCGATCCTGGAGGGGCTGTTTGCAGCACAGCACCGATTACCAAAAATATCCAGAAATAATAACCTTTGCAACCTCACCGCAATCATTGTGTGAGACAAAGCTGCATGCGTGTCACTCCCTTCACACCCTAAACTCTGTCCTGGGAAAAGCTTGCATTTTCAGAACCTCACCTCTCACTTGGCCTGCAGATCACCTCGCTCACCTAGGGCCACCCCAAACACACACAATCCCACTTTCCCCTCTGTTCAGGGTTCCCAGCAGCACAGTCCCGAATATTTCATAAACGCTCTTTAATTACATTACTCAGCGTGCGACACCAGAACAAGGAAATATTCACCTGGAAAGTGTCTTCTTCTGCATGAATGAGTCTCATTGTCAAAATCTTGAGCATATATAGGTACGTATATGTTTTGCAGTGGAGAATTTAGTTTCTCGTTTATACTGTAAAGCTAAAAATTCTGGTAGCTTCAGGCTTGTTTTTACAAGTTCCCAGCTGTACAACAATTTCTGTTTTTACAGGAAAAACTAAGCAGTCCATCGACCATGATGGCTTTACATCCATAATGTGAGCTTCATGAGGAACAGAGCAACTTTATTATAATCTGGACTGAAATCACATTGAATAAAAGCCCACCTAACAGAGCCTGAGGGAAAAAGTCACAAACAGGCTCAATTCTATACCTAATACAACGGGAAATTTAGAGGGGAAGGTTTTAGGATCAGGACAGTAGATTTCACCCTTCAGCTGACACTATGAAGATACTTTTCAGGGTCCCATTTAATTTTGA